TAGAAAAGATTGGAAATATTTTCTTCTCTACTGACTGGAATTCTTCACACAAAATGGAAAGTCTTAGCCTTTCAGAAGGGTTAAATTTGCCCATCAAACCATGGAGACCTGCTATTTTCTTTGTGAAAAGAATAACATTCTCAAAGTAATTATGGAAAAATTTGTAGTTTCATTTTTTACATATTGGTGAGTCATATTTTTGTAAGATTTTTTGAATTTTTATTTAGTTTTATACTATTGGTTAAGTTGCTCATACGATGCTCTTATCTCTATTTTTTGGATTATATGATAGTGGATTATATAGGTCTAATGTGTGATCCATTTATGGGGATAACTTTCTCTTAGATTTTTGTCTTATAACTTGTGTCAGATCTTTTTTTTTTTTTTTTTTTTGTGGAACCAGGGATTGAACTCAGGACCTTGCGCATGCCAGGGAAGCGCTTATTCCACTGAGCTATCTCCCTGATCCAGATCTCTTTTTTTAAAATAAATTTAAATAAAATCTGTCATAATTATTGATCATCCACATGGCCTACTTTCCCAGTAAGAACATTGCAAACTTTTCGCAGATTTCAAAAACAAATCAGATTTTGCAAGTATTTATTAAATAGTTTTGTGTGCTCTATGCCAAGCACTAAGGATAGCAAATTAACTCATTCGGCAAACGTCCCGCCCTCAAGGGGTCACAGCTGGATTTTCTTGAGAGCACAGTGAGGGGGAAGCTCAGTACTTGCCAGGCAGACCTTGAGGTCAGAAGTGGTAGGGGTCTTTGCCACTCCAGCCCCATCTATTGGCAAACCGGTTGGCTGCTGTGTCCTCTGTTCCGTGGCCCAGGAAACCCTGAATACGTTCCCTGGCATCACTGCAATCAAGACAGGCACAGCAGAGATTAATCACTAGGCTGATGAGCAACAGCCCCATCTTCTTATCCATCCTTTCCCAGAAAGCCCTGGAAGGAGCCTGCAAGGCCTAGGCAGGAGGGCTCGGCACTGACCTTTCTGGCACTCATGCCCAGCCCCTCTTTACATTGGGTGCACCGCACCAGAGCAGGAGAACTGGGAATCAGGAATTCCCAGCAGGCGGTCAGACCCTGCACTAAGCACTGAGAAGGAGCTGGGGCAAAAGGAGGAGGGGCACAGTGTGCACAGGCGATGGCTCTACTTCGAAGACAAAGCCCCTCCAGGCTGTCAGGCCAGGTCCTCCCTGCTCACCCAGGCCAGGCTCCCCAGGAATCTGTCTCACCTGGTCACTTCAGCAGACATACCCAAGTCTGTCTCCATGTTCCCAGTTCCCATCAACAAATTCTTTGACACATTTATTGGGCATCTTCTGTTATCCTGTACCAGTTTCTGGGGGACAAGGCCCAGCAACACTGTGTCAGCAGAGAGGTGTGTGGCTCCAGCCTGGTCCCCTGAGAGCATCAGGAAGAGCAAGTTCAGTACCGCTCAGACAGGCCAGGAGGTCTGCAGTGATTGGGTCTTTCCCACGTCCACCCCATTCCTCAGCTTTCTGGTTGGACTCAGTGTTTTCTGACCCATAGTCACTTCTTCCATAATAAAAGTGGTTTAAGATGCCCTGAAGATACTTCCCAGCATTGCTGAAATGCGAGGAATGGAGGCAGGAAATGAACTGGACATGCATGACAGTGTCATCTCTTCATTTACTCATCCTCTCCCAGGAGGAATGACGGAGAGAAGGCTGGAGAAGTCCTCAGGTTCAGACAAGCCAACACTAACCCTCTTGGGCAAAGACCTACACAGCTGATTCTTCTGCACCCTCCTTTGGTCTTACTTTGTCTTTGTGGGTGCGAGAAGATGCAGCCCTCAAGTCCTGTTCTAGCCTGCGGCTGAGCCCAGCCCTGGGAGCACAGACAGGAGGAGGGTCCCAAGGGAGGGGCGAGGCCCGCCAGCTCTGCAGCCCTTGCTGGAATCCCGGAAGTCTGAGCTACCTGATCACTTTGCAGCCCAGACCCCACCCGGTCCCCTTTGGCAGCGCCATAGTTGC